CAGTCACACTTACTTCAGTGGCCTTGTCACTCCTGGGCCTTGGGTGGGGTCACCCTCATTCTCTGTGCTTTTATGACTTTGATTCTTAGAGCAGGGATTAGTGAGGTCATTGCTCCGTCCCTCCTGTGAGGCTGCAGGGTCCTATACAGTGAGGTTCACTTGCTCCACACTCCCACCCTCCTCTGGGACCTTCTATCCTGTTCCATCCCATCTGTGGGTGCTCTGGTGCCCACTGAGGGCTAGTTCAAGTGCTGATTCTCCTGGGACACCTGGGCACCATGGCACCACTGCTCCCCTCTCCCTCCAGGCTCCACCCAGCTGTCTTCTGAGGTGTCCACTCCGTGAATAGAGTGACCTTTGCACTGGCCAGTGGGGGCTGGTGTCTTTGCCAGCCTGCTCTTCTCAGGCCTGCCTGGGCTGAGCACTGGACTAGCAACCTATCTCTAGAGTACTCACAAAAGGGAACGATTGCCTCTGTTCTTGGTGGATCCCCACCCTGATGGCTGAACTGTGGCCTCCAAAGGATGTGTTCAAGTCATTCCTTTCTCCCCACACCTGTGAATGCAACTCATTTGGTCATAGGCTATGCAGATGCTTTCATTAAGATGAGGTCATTTCAGCAGTGCCTGGATCTCTTGGGCTGTAAATTCTCGGGTCAGATTTTAGCGTTCCTAGTTTACAACACCTGCTTCAGGCCCATGCTCAGGGAATCTTCTGTCTGGCATGGCCACCTTCCTCCCTCACCCCTGCCCTTCCTAGGTTTGTTTTTATCTTTAGCATTGATGACTGCCTAACACTATGTTACCTAAGCATTTCATTTTTGGCGTCTGCCTCCACTAGACTTCCCCTCCCCTCAATTCAACAAATATTCATTTGTGCACTGACTGTGTATAAACCTTTGGTCAGCAGGTCAACCTACTTCTCCAGACTTGGGGGGAAGAGAGGTGGGGTTGACACTGATTTGCTCTCTAATTTACCCTTGTCAAGAGGGGCAGGAAGAGCCGCGGGCTGTAGACGCATCTAGAATACAAGAGGGTTGACTATGCTTCCCTTGGTTCTTATTCAGAAGCCTGGTGAGTCAGGCTGGAAAAAGAAGTAGGGCTCAGTTAGCTTACTGCACCTGCTCTGCACTGTGCGGATGATAGAACTTTGCTGTGGTTTTCAGACTTGTCTATAGGGGAGCTCTTAAGTACCTATGGCTTCCAAAAATTCTGGAAGTGAGACTGTGTATTCCATTGTTGGCCTCAGTACTGAGTGTTTTGGATCATTGCCCTCCAATGAGCCTGCAGATGGTGTGTGACATCGACCTGGAGTAGGGTTGTAGGCTCATTGCAACCATATTCACCTTTATAGTCTCCTGCCCAAATCACTGAGTGCACGTCAAGTCAAGAAAAGAAAGGTAAGTGGGCCTTGCCTTCTACAGTGACGATGTGAGACAATTATTACAGAGACTTCCAGAGAATAAGATGGAAACATCAGTTTTGGGTCATTGCGTAAGCTCTGGAGTGCTAGGGGCTGATTATTAATGCAATGAGCTGGCTCTAGATAGTAACTCACAGAGACTAAAAAGTTTATTTGTAATTTTGAGTCATCTATTCACAAAGCAATCAGTAATGTTTTATGATGCCCTTATGAGCATAGAGATGATAGATAGATAGGTAGATAAATAGATAGATGATAGATTGTTAGGTGATTGATAGATGATAGATCTAGATGACCCATAGAGAGATGATAGACAGGTATAGATAGATACATACATACGTACATACATCAGATGGATAGACACATAGAACATAAGTGAACATGGTTCTTGTCCCCAGATAGCTTACAGTCTACTCAGAAGTCTGTATTAACACGCATAAAACAACTAGCAAGCAAGGTGCAGTGGCTCAAGCCTCCTATGATCCTATATAATCTGGAAGATTGAGGATCAAGGCCAGCCAGGACAAAAAGTTCCAGAGACTCCATCCGCAACCAATAAAAAATTAGGTGTGGTGGTACATGCCTGTTATCCCAGCTATTCATGAAGCGTAAATAGGATTGAGGTGTATGCTGGCTAGGGCATAAACAAGAGATCCTCTCTCCAAAATAACCCCCAAAAAGGCTGGGGTAATGCTGAGGTGGTAGAGCAACTGCTTAGCAAGCACAAGACCCTAAATTCAACCCCCAATACCACCAAAAAACCTCACAAAAAAACAAACGTAAGTAGCAAACAACCAATCAATGTGTGGTGCTGACTAATCGTTTTGGAATATAACAGATGAAGGAAGGCGGGGGGGCACAGAAAGACAAACACCACGTGGTCTTGCTTATATTTGGAACCTAAGAAAGTTGAACTTAAGCAAAGAGGACCTGGCAATAGTGGCCCATGCCTGTCATTGCAGCACTTGGAAGGTTGAGGCAGGAGGATCACAGGTTCTAGACCAGCCCACACAGTGAGACCCTTTCTCAAACAACAACAAAAAGAAGCAGAGTAGAATGGAGGTTCTCAGAAGCTGGGCAGGCAGGTATTAGGGAGATGTTGACCAGAGGGCACAGAATTTCAGATAGGAGTAGGTTTTCAAGATTTATGCACAGCATGGTGGCCTTCCTTAATCATAAAGAATGATATATTTCAAAATTGCTGAAAAGGGGCTGGAAAGGGCTGGGAATGTAACTCAGTGGTAGAGTATGTGCCCAGCATGTGTGAGGCCCTACATTTGATCCCCTGTAACAAAAAGAGTACGATTTTGTTTTTGACAGTGCTGGGGTTTGAACTCAGGGCCTCACACTCGCTAGGCAGGTGCTCTACCACTTGAACTATGCCCCAGCCCTTTGTTTAATTTTAGTTTTTTTTCAGATAGGGTCTCCTGTTTTTGCCCATAGGTGGCCTCAGACTTTGATCCTCCTACCTATGTGTCCTGAGTAACTGGGATTACAGGTGTGAGCCACCTCCCTTTTGTCTGCTGACTCATAACTGGAATACGATCTCGCACCCTCTAGAACCCCATCCTCATCTAGCGCACAGCCGTGTGTAATTTCACCATGAATCAGTCCCAGAAGAGTGAAGGCTCCATCCCCAAGCCTTGCACCCTCCAGATTGTGCTGTACCGCAAGGTGGGCCACTGTGGAGCTGCTTCATCAGAGAGCACCCATGGCTTCCTTCTCCACCGCTATGTTCCCTCACAAAATTGCTCTTTTGTGGGATGTGTTTGACTTGCTCTGAGAAACACTAAAAGAAGTCACCTTAGGAAACTTCCTGCTGTACTTGTGGATGGAATGCTGATCACTTCATCCAGCACCACATCATACAATGCTCTCCTTAAGATGGCTTGGGATCAGGAGACAGTCTGCTTCTCCCCATTACCTAGGAATCTGAGTACAGGCCTTATAGCTATGCATTTTTCTCTTTTTGCTTTGACTGCCAGGAAGCTTAGAAACAAACTTATGACTTACCTTGAACACTCTACTGACCTGTAGGTGACTTTTTACACTTCCTAATACTTTCTTACTTGGATTACCCTGTCCCTGTCATCTGTAGTTGTCTACTTTAACCTTTAGTATTCACTCTGTATTGGTGACATTTCAGTGATGGAAGGGGTGTAAATAAATGTCAGGTGATTTAAAATATTTGTTATTTTAATTTACTTCTTTGTTTTGTTTTCTGAGACAGGGCCTGCTATGTTGCCAGACTGACCTGGAACTCAAGATCCTCCTTACCCAGCCTCCCAAGGACTGGGCTTACAGGTATGAACCGCTGTGCCTGTTTTTTGGGCAGAGCTAGGGTTTGAACTAAGAGTCTACACACTTGGTAGGCAGTCTACCACTCAAGCCCCATCACCAGCCCTTAATTTACATTTTTGATTAGTGGAGAGTTCAAACATTTCCTATGTTCATGGGCCATTTGCATATGCTTGTATATGCGTGTGTGATTAGAAGTTACCCACCATTACCTCTACCCATTTATTGATTGGTGTCCCAGTGTTTTCCATCTCAGTTTAGTTGCAAATTCTATGTATTAAGGTATATTAACCTATGGTTGAATTTATTACAAACACATTTTCTAATTTATGCCTTATGATGCACACTCCTAGCATTTGTTGGAACTGTCCAAATGCCACCAAATCATAGAACATTCAGTAAAATCCCTAGTGAAGGGGTGTTACATTTAAGATTTTATTATGTGACAACCAGTCGAACTGCAAGATTATCCCGATAACGAAATGGCTGGGTAAGCAATAGCTATAAACAGTGCTGGAGACTAAATGTAGTGAAGTTTGTCAGCAGTGTCTTGGGAATACAGCAGAATGTTTCCTTTGTAATAAAAAAAGAAAATACCTCATTCCCCAAAGAATTGGCAGTGCTTCAAATCAGCTACTCAGCAAGGACTTGAGGGATGAGGGATGGTGGGCTGGAGAAACTGTGCTAGCTATGGCCAGACACATTCTGGAAGAACACGAGCTTGTTCTGTATGCATTTGGCAAAGAAGGTATTCCTCAGCGACTTCTGTTTCATGCATGAATGTGTATGCCGCCCATGTTATGGAAAGAAAGGGAGGGAGGGATGGAGGAAGGGAGGGAGGGATGCACAGAAGCAAAGAAGGATGACATGGGTATAAATAGTTTATGACATTAGCTGTTCTGTCCTTGGGATCCAGACTCCTTGAGTCCCAGTGTGACTTGGCCACATTCATGCCCTGTAACCTCACTAAACCCCTGAGCCCATTTCCTTCTTCTGTGACAGTGGAATAACAACGATGGCTCACAGGTTGTTAAGATTAAATGAGGCTCAGAGCTCAGCACCTCGGAGACAGTTAAGTGTTGAAAAATGCTAGCTTCCACAGAGTTTCAATGGCAAGTGGATCACATGGCCAGCAAGTCTTATTAATTCCCAGGAGAAATCAGGGATTTCTTCTTAATCATAGTGGGGCCACCAGATGGGAAAATGGACAAGTGGTTTCAGAACAGCGTCACCTTTTCCCACACTGAGGTAATGTAGAGCAGCCTCCCTTCCAGGATGTCCTAGTGGAGGAACGTGGAGGCCCGAGAGCGTTGCCCAGGTGCAATGTTCTCCCGTGAGCCTGGTCCTGGCTTTTCTTCAAAGATCCTCTGCAGGGCTTCTTTTAGGGACTTTCTACTCTTCCTTCTCCTCACACTACCTACCACAAAATAGACGATCGGGTTGACACTGCAGTTGACAGTGGACAACATATTCAGATAGGGAAGGAATCTCCACACAGACTCGTCTCTGGAGTTCGAATAGTAGACTATGATGCCCTTCATGGGCATGGCAAAGACAAGAAACAGGACGACGGTGGCCATGACAATCACGTACAGCTTGGCTGGCTGACGTGGCTTCAGGTTACAGCAGACTTGGATGAAAAGGATCAGGTTGGAGAAGACCATGAGAGGAACGAAGACAAGAAATGTCAAGACACAGGAAAAAATGTACACATAGCGACATTCCGGGAACCTAGGCTCATTTTGCAGAAGGCAGAAGAAGTTTTCCAACCCAGACACCAGCACAGAGAGGGCCCACAGCAGTGTGCAGGCCACAGCAGACTGGTGCTTTGGGCGGCGGCACTGGTACCAGATGGGGTAGAGCACGGAGAGGCAGCGCTCCACACTGATGGCCGTGAGGAGGTGCAGACCTGTGTTGTAGCCGAAAATCATGAGGAGGACCACATAGCTCATTAGAGTGTCATCTTGGAAGTGGAAGCTGTTCACCAGCTGGAAGATGGATGAGCAGAGGAGGACCATGAAGTCAGCAATGGCGAGGTGGAGAATGTAGACGGTGAACGGTTTCCTCTTGACACAGAAAATGAGAAACCATATCAAAAGTCCATTCCCAGTTACTCCTGGCACACAAATGAGCAGAGACATGTAGCTGTAACGGTGTGCTCTTTCCACATTGAATAGGGGCTCAGTCATGTGCTCTGATGACCATGTTGTTTGATCCAGGGATTCATTTTTGGTACAGAGTGTAGATTCCAGAGGACTCATGGTCACTGTCATTGGCTCCATTCTTGGGAAATCACTGTCTTCTCCTGTATACCTGTTGTCAGAAATAGAAGATGGAGTTGATGGGTGTCAGTGCATCAGATGGATTGCTGTGCATATCACCATAAGTTTGGTTTTATTGGGGATCCTCTGCTCCCATAGGTGAGGGAGGATGCCAGCCAGAGAAGGTCTTGCTGCGGTTCCTCTCTTCCCCCACCCTCCCTCCTCTCAGCTTTCCACCCAGACAGACTCCATTGCAATCACCACAGTCTTTCCACTGACCCTAAGGGCTGGCTCCTACCCCAACCCAGCCATCGCTTTGACTAGGATTCTTCTTCCTTCTTAGCCTCATGGGAAAGAAAGCCCACTGCTGTTTCCTGCCTTCCTGAAAGAGATTTCTAAGGGTTCCTACCAGAACTAGGCAACAGAATCAGGATCAAAACCACACTTATTTCAAATGCACCATGGAGCAAAAGCCAATGTACAAAAATGAAAGCAATGTGGGTATTTGTTAGTCATTCTGATTTCTCTGTTCTTCCTTTCCCATGCCTCTGTTTGAGTTAATCACACCCCCATAACCCTCGGGCATTTTATCCATCCACCAGTAACCATGATTAATAGATGGTTGTGTCTCTCCTGTGCATTGGGGGTCATCCCCATGGGCTTAGCTGATGGGACCATCAAGCTGTAAATAGGTGAGATGGGAAAGCAAGGGAAGAGGCTCTGCTGAGCTTGGGTTCAAGGAAGGAAAGGCCACTTTAGACTGGGTAAAAATGCAAGATTGTAGTGTTCAGATCCACAATAGCCTGTGGTCCCCAAGTGACCCTAGGCATTGTAACTTCTTGTTTTTCACCATTTCTCCATCCTTAGGAGACAGAAGGGCCCCTAGAAATCTGCATTATGACCTTCCTATGACGTTAAAGGGTAGAAAGAAGGAAATGCAGGAAGGACCAAAATAAAGACAATATGAGGATCAGGAACAACCAATCACAACTTTACAGGCACAGCCAATGAAAATGCAGCTTTCTGCATACCTCATTAGCATAGAGATTGAGCAACGCCCTAGAGAAAATGGATTAAAAACCTCAGACCATGTCACTTCTCAGGCACCCTCTCTTGGGACCCCCCCATCCAACTCTGGGGGCTCTACTCTCCCACTTTACACTTTCCTGTCTCAATAAACTCTCCCACTTTGCTCGCTTTTGTTGTCTATGAAGCTCATTCTTTGGCTTAATGAGACAAGAACCAGGAACACTGACCTCCCTCTGGCTAAACTCCTAAGCCAGCAAGGTGGAGTGGAGGCTCCCGGTCCTACACAAATCTCCCACTTCACTTATATAGTGTTCCCTGTTGCCTGAAGGACACTCTGACCCTAACCAACTGAGTGAGGCACAGGAGGGAGCTGGATTCAGGATTCAGGGAAGGGCTTGCTAAGCAAGAGCTTTCTGTGTTGTTTCTTTGTGAACTCTTTTTTTTTTTTTCGTGGCACTGGAATTTGAACTCAGGGCCTCACAATTGCTAGGCAGGCATTCTACCACTTGAATCATTCCACCAGCCCTCTTTGTAGGCTCTTGACAGCAAAGGACAGGCAGTCCCCTATTTACAGATGGGCACTGTGATAAGAGCCATTTATCAGTCTCTCTTAGAAACTCAGAATACATTTTCTAGAAACTTGGTTGAATTTCCCAGAACAGCTAATGGACTCCTACTTAACCTTAGTTATAACCAATTGTGATATTGTGAAATATACATTTGATCTTTGTTTTTTTCCTGGCATAAAACTCCTAAAATCCTTGGAATCTCCAGAATGATGTCTTTCCTATGCTAATGAGGTGACTGATGGCTGGTGTCCACTAGATAGCTTCAGGATGGGGGCTGGTCACTGGAAGACCACTGCAGGATTAGAGGGCAGGGCCTGCAGGGAGTTGGGAGGGCTGCATGTTGAGTTGATCACCAGTGACCATTGGTGTAATCAATCATGCACACATAATTAAGCCTCGGTAAAACCCCAAAGGACAGGGTGTGTTTGGACAGCTTCCAGGTAGTTGAAAAAGTGGAGGTTCCTGGAAGGAAGTTGTGCAACCCTTCTTCATTCTGACAAACCCAAACGTGCACCAGCACAGGGGCTCTACTCCAAGTGCTTTTGGATTTGTGAAAAAACGCATGGCTGTTCTGGATGATAAAAGTAATCCAAATTAATTTCACAAACTTTGAAGAGTGCAGAAGGAAGAAAATAGCCACCAGTTTTCCTGTCTCACCACACAAAGATAATTTCTTTCCTTTTCTTTTTTTAAAGACAGGGTCTCACTATGTAGCCAGGCTGGACTCGAACTCATGATCCCTGTGCTTCAGACTCTAGAGTGCTGGGATTACAGGTGTGAAACACCACACCAGTTTCTTTTTATTTTTAAAGCTCAAAAAAAAATTGTTGACAGTACTGGGGTTTGAACTCAAGACCTTGCACTCACTAGACAGGCGCTCTACCACTTGAGCCACATTCCCAGCACATTTTATTTTTAATTAACATACAGCAACTGTACATATGCATGGTAGGCAATTACTTCAGGACATGTATACAGTGTGTAAGGATCAGATCAGGGTAGTTGGCACATCTATCATCTCAGACATTTATCGTGTGTGTGTGTGTGTGTGTGTGTGTGTGTGTGTGTTATTCAATTATTCATTGTTAACCCAAAGACAACCTCTATTCATATTTCCTGGAAACTACAGTGTATGTGATTTTATGCCTGCCTTTTTAACTTAATATCATATTATCAATATTTCATTGCTATTAAAAAATTCTTCAGATATGATTGTTGATGACTACACAACATGGTGTTTGGTCTTTTGTTCATTCTTTTCAAAATAATTTCTCTGCTAGCAAACATGTGGATTGTTAATAATTGCCCTTGGATGGCAGCACAGGGATGTTCTTGAAGTGGCTCTCTCCTGTGTCTCTGATTAATTCCACGGGATAGATAGCTTCAAGGACAATTATTCAAAAGAGATTTTAAGGCTTTTAAACAGAAGAATGTAGTGTTCATAAACATGGATTTTGGGCTCAGATTTGGGTTTGAAACCACTTCCAAGTTACCAATTATCTGACCTAGGGCAAGTTCTTAAATCTTTAAGCCTCAATTTCCCTCTCTGTAAAATGGGGAGAATGGTGGTAGTAGTTTCAGTAGTTACTGAGAAAATTAATGGATTTTTTTTTTTTTGGCAGAACTGGGTTTGAACTCATAGCCTCAAACTTGGTAGATAAGTGCTCTACCACTTGAGCCACACCTCCACCTCTTTTTGTGTTAGTTTATTTTTCAGATGAGGTCTTGGGCTTTTTCCTGGGGCCACCTTTGGGCCATGATTCTGCTTCCTTTGCCTCCTGAGTAGCTGGGATTGTAGATTTGGAGACAGGACCTTGCTAGCGCACTAACTTTTTTACCTGAGATTTGAACTCAGGGCTTCATACTTGCAAGGCAGGTGCTCTACTGCTTGAGCCACACCTCCAGCCCAACATCTAAATTGTTTTTTTTTTTTTTTGTATTGCTGGGGCTTGAACTCAGGGCCTACACCTTGATCCACTCCACCAGTTCTATTTTTTATGAAGAGTTTATTTTGAGATAGGGTCTCACAAACTATTTGTCCAGGCTGGCTTCGAACTGCAATCATCCTGATCTCTGCAGAGATCAGGATAGTAGCTAGGATTACGGGTGAGCCCCTAGTGCCCAGAGACACTTAAATTTCAATCTGCATGTGCAATGATTAGTGAGGGTGCCTATTTTTCATGCACCAATTGCATTTTATGCTGCTTCTTGTGCAGATCATTCTGTGTTCCTTGCCCATTTTTATTTTCTGATGGGAATTATTTCCTGACCTGTAAGAGCACACTAAGCTTTTCTACATATTTCTCCTTTGGGCAAGCTGGTTTGGCCCCACAAGTGTTGGCCCAACCTGGGACGATTGTAGATCCCTTTGTCATCCAAACTCCAATCTCTGTCCTTCTCCTTCCTCTTCCCTTTCACTAAGTGAACTGCCACAACTGTCTAGGGTAAGAGGAGAAGCAGGAGCACGAGAAAGACCCCTTGGGGGGGGTCTTTTTTCCCCAGGCCAGGAGCGTCGAAAGACCCCCACGGGAGGACCCCCCACTGCAGCAGCCTTCTGGAGGGAGCCTTAGACCAGTGTGGTCAGCCAGCTCCTGCTTACAACTGCACTTCCAAAGAAGTATGAACAAATAAGGCAATTGTGCTGTCTTTGGGTGACATTGCTCACACTAACCTTTCTGCCTAGATTCTAGTGCATTAGTAAACAAAAATGTACTTGCTCGAATTTTGTCTTATTATTCCTGGCCGTGGGAAAAAGGTTTCTAAGAAGCGGGGGCGGGAGGGGGGGAAGATGAGGTAGAATGATTGAGAGGGTACATCTAATTAAGTAAGCACATATGTAAATGTCACAATGAAATCCCCCGTACAACTAACATATGTTAATAAACATTGTTTAAAAAAAAAGTAAAAACAGGTTTGAGAGTAGAACTAGGTTAAATATAATTTTGCTGAATGTACACAGGAGTTTTCATTGGTCTATTTCTTGTAGCCATTAGAGGAGCACTGGGGGTCAGGGAAATCCCCAGTGGACATGGATGCTGAGGACTTGGGGGCTCAGGTGACCTGCTGTCACGTCCTGTGTAGACGCAGGACCATTTCCATCTCCTCCCTGCCTCAGAGCTCTTGGCTAGCCCCACGTCCAGCTGTCCACAGAGGTTCTCATGGCACAGTGGGGAGGAAGGGCATGTTGGAGAAGGGCAGTCCCAAAGAAAAGCTGAGCTCATCCTTGAAGTGGGATGGAGTTTGCAGAAGCTTCCATGGAGACTCCTGTGTGCTCTGCTGGTGGGAGTAGGGGCAGTCACCTTCTTTCCAAACTCAGCCCCCCTTTCTGCTTTGCACCATGTGTCTGAAACGTGTTATTTACTGACTTTTCCAGTGATTTCTCTCAGCTGCTCATCCCGGCTATCAGATCCCGTCAAACAAAGG